TCCCGCCCCCTCCCCACCAGAGCCTTGCTTCTGAAAGCACAAGGCAGCATGAACATCACCTGGGGCTTGTTAAAAACGCAGCGTCTTTGGTCCCACCTCAGACCTGAATCAAATCTGCACCTTATGCGATTCCCCAAGCACGTCCTAGGTAAATGCATCTGGGACACAAGAGCAGCACTCAGCCTACAGGTAAGGGTGGCCAGGAGCCTCCCACATGGAGGAGGCGATGGGGAGGAGGAGAAGGTGGAGGAAGCTGAGCTACCTGAGCCAACATGTGAGTGAAAAGGACAAAGGTCTTGGCTAAGAAATCTTTCCCTTCATTCACTTCCTGACACAGTGCATGCAGACGTCCTCTGTAGCGGTTACTTTCTTTCCAGAAATCTGTTGGTTCTCAGAACAGAGGAAAGTGGAACTGACTGCTGCTTTCTCTTTTCTTTTTTCTTTCTTTTTTTTTTNGGCCATTGGACCGCAGCTCATAGCGGCTCACGGCAGCTCTCACCAGCTGACGGCCACTCATGGTAGCTCACAGCAGCCCCATTGCAGCCTATGGCATCACCGGCCACTCACGGTAGCTCACGGCAGCCCCATTGCAGCCTATGGCGTCGCCGGCCACTCACGGCAGCCCAGCTCCAGGTTGAGCTGTTGTTCACCATCTTAGCTGTAGAGGGTGCAGGGTCACTGGCCCATGTGGGAACCGAACCAGTAACTCTGCTGCTCAGCTCTAGAGCTCCCAAGCCAGCTCTTAACTAACTGAGCCACTTGGCTGGCCCAGCCTCCACCTTCTTTATCAGCTCTGCAGATGACTGTGATAGCCACCAAAATGTATGAATCACAGTTCTGTAGTATAGAAATTAGAAACCAGGGTCTAGAATGAGGCTGACTTGGGCTTAGATTCCTTTCTAAGCCTTAGTTTCTACCTCTCAAGTGTGGATAAGATTAGTACCTACTTCCTAGGATTTCTGTGACAATGAGAAAATGTATATAAAATGCATATATTGACAACTAGTTAAAGACAAACTTTTAATGTATTTATTCATTCATTGGATAAAGTTTATGCCATCGATTTATGAGAATTTTAGTAGCAATACTAGATTACATATACATAGTATTCATATTTGTCAATTTTGAGGCCTGGTTTTCCTGGGACATTTTGTAATGCTAGAATGACTTCAGTATTCTTAAGGCAGAGCACATGCATTTCATCTGAATAAATGTCCAATCTCTGCCAATCCCCTCTCTCAGTTAAAACCTATTTCTCCCGTTTCTTCTGGATCTAGTCTCTCCAGGAAGCCCTTTCTGAATTCCTAAGACAGTTTTCTCTCTGTGTGTGAGCTCCCAAAACACCACCTACTTTCCTTCATGGAAGCCATTCAAGTTGTAAAAGTATATTAATTTAAATGATCCTTTTTAAAGCCTATCTTCCCCCTCTGGCTGGCTATAAATCCATGAGGGGCCAGGTATGTTTTAATCCCAAGGTTTGTGAGTGCGGAGAACAGCGCCTGTCACAGCACAGATGCTCAGTTAATGTTTAATGGATGAATGTGTTTACCGAACAACCAACAGTTTATACAGAGGGTGCCAAAAAAA